ACCAGACTGCTCCTTGGAAAAGGTAACACTTTAGTATAGGGACCTCCCCACAGGGCTACTCCATTTACCCCAGTCTTCCTTCCCATGATAGCTGGAGCAAATAGTAACACACTAGGCATAGCAGCATTCTCTTCCACTAGATTAATCACAAGTGTCACTCTTACAGGGGGGTTAAAAAAAAGGGGCTTTGATTTGTTATATAGCTTTCAGGTACAGAAATATTGCCAAATGGTAAAATAATCAACTCTTTTACCCAAGCCCCCTTTTACCTTTTGTTTTAAATAAAAGAATAAAGTGTGAAATGATCCTGAGCTAAATAAATTAAAAAATTCCACATTTTTGCCCAACAGAACCTTCTGTATCACTGGGAAATATCTGAAGTCCTCAACAATCTTTTATCTTTATGGTGACATTTTCAGTCTTCCAATCTTTGGACATTCTGAGAACTTCTTTGGCTTGGGTCCTCTAACAAACTTGCATGGATAATTAGCCTATTAACTAATAAAGTTGTAATTGGAACCCACCCTTCTCTCTCATTCAGCTGTATCTGCAATCACTTAGCTCATGTCTGGGGCTAACATGAAAAGCAGATACAAGCAGGAAGGAATTCCTGTCTTAATATTATTACTGCCAATCACTGTTCTGGTGTCTAGGCCAAGAGAGTAAGATTCAGCCAGTCACTTTATCTGCCCATCAACCCAATCATCCTTTCACCCATCTGTCCTTCTCTCCATTCACTTGACTGCTGCAGTGGAGATTCAAATGGAGAGAAAGTGTGGTTCAGACCCTTGAAAACCTCACATAAAAGGTAGAAATGTTTACCACTATTCTCCAGCTCAACAACTGTTCTCTTACTATCATGGAATGTTCTCCGTCAGGTATCACACTCTGTTAGTCACTGTCTTATGCTCAGCCATGATTAAGCTCCAGGGAACAAGAATTTATTTTGCATCTCTGTGGGTGTCACATACCAAATGCAAAATAAATACCATTAACTAAGTAGATAAGTGTACAATGCACAATATACAAGACACATTAAGAAGAGAGAGATGAAACATCTGTTCCTTGTAGTACATAATGTGTCTCCATGATTTAGTACTTATTGGAGCATAGGGCCCAAATGCTTGCATTTAAATGGTGCTAGGTAGTGGAAAGTTGTAGCTCAAAGCCAAGGGATTATACTGTCTTGGGTGGGTCATTCAGCTCTGAGAGTCTGCCCACTTGCAAATAAACTGGAAAGGGGATTTTAGACAATATGTTCCAATTCCTTTCGTTAGGGCTTCTCTACAAAATTAACATTACTGTGCTAAATTAAATATTCAAGTTATAGTTTTACAGAGTCATGGGCTGAGCCAAGCTCCCAGGTTTACCTTCCTAAACAGTGAAAAGAAAAAAAAAAGACCATGGCTTGGGTCTTATCATTGTGCTGACATTTCTTATCTTTGAGGATAGGTAAAGGTATTAAATTAGATGCTTTCAAGTTTAAATTCCTAAGTCTAAACTTTCATTACTTTAAGTCAAAAACATTGGCTAAGGTTAAATTTAGTCACAGCAAATACATGTCATAAACTTTTTTAAAAGAGCCCTAATTTAAAATATTTTGTGTCAATCTTCATCCAGCCAGTATTTAATAAGCCCTAGTACGTGCCAGGCAGCACTTAGGGAGTGAACCAGGTAAAACACAGCCACTTCTAACCCCTAACAGTTGATCCAGTAGAGAAGACAGAAAATATACAAGTAAATGAACAAATGAAGATGACTTCAAATGAGGTTAGGAACATGGACTATTCAATAAACAGCTCTATGTGAAAAAACACAATTATAGCAGGTTCTTCTTTGGATGGCTTCTCTTTGGAGGTGATATTTTGTTTGGGATCTTAAAGTTCTTTGGCAAAACAAAGTATGGGAAAGAACATTCTAGGTGAAGGGAATAGCAAGGGCAAAGGCTCCAGAGCTGCAAACAAACTTGAGGTATTCACAGGACAAGGAAGTATCCAGAGCATCTGTGAATGGCAGAGGGAGTGACTCAAGGACAATGAGGACGGACTGCAGAAGGCAAGGTAGAGACAGAGCTGCCAAAGTCTGTGGACTCCTATGGAAGAAGGAATCACCTAAACTTTCACCAGGGTCTACCTAAAAATACACAATGTATTTGATTACAAAGGTAGACAATGCCCACTGCTATTATCAGCAGTGCCTGGGACTTGTTATCAGCACAAACTGCATATTCACTTGTATCGTAGTTGCTGCAGATATCCAAAAGTCACAATAGCTACTGACCAGCTGTTAGACCTCATTATTTCAAGTATTAACAAAAAAGCACATACATTATATATTTTACATTTTAAAGGTACTTAATAACTATTTGAAAGGAATCAATTTCCTTGGAAACTCTGTGTATTCCATTTTGCATATGTAAAAGTATTATTCTGAAAGGGATCCTTGGGGTTCATCTCAGCCAAAGCTTTTTGTCACCTATGACCTACCACCCACAGGTCAGAGTTACAGGTTCATTCCAAGCAGGGTAAAAAAAGTGAATGTGGGGTGGGGATGCAATAGAGGAATAATTGTCATTTTCTTAAGTCATCTGGAGGTTTGGGTAGAGAGGACTTATGGCTGCCCAAAGCAATGCTCAAGGCTGGAGAAGGCCGCAGCTTCCAGTGACCACTGTTCTAGATGATTCTAAGCAGAATCTCAGGGTCTTTGTGAACTTGGCTCCTGTCCCTGATGCACACAGCCCTTCTACTACACCACCCCACACTGCCCAGTGGGCCCTTTTCAGAGCCTGTCCTGGGACATCTTCCCAGGGAGCTTCAGAAAATGAGCTCATGTGTCCACAAGAAAAACAAACTTGGTGTTTGCCACTGTTTGGTTTGTGTATTGGTCTAGAAAAGAAATGGGATTTTTATGTAAGAAAACCTTCCAGCAGGACCCCAGCAGTGGCTGGGCAAACACTACGGCGACAGACTATAAACAGGCAAGAAGGCCCAACCCCTGGCCCAGGCCCATGTTCAGCAGCCCCTCAGCTTACATTGGTCTTCCTGTTTTTTCCAGCCTCTTCCACACTGCATCAACACACAGAGGCTTTTCAACACCCTCTAAGAGAACTGAAACGTCACTCTCACACAGCAGGCCCAGTCCTCATACCCATGGGTATAGGCTCCACCAAGAGACCAGAAGATGGGCTTAAACAGGGCTACAACTGTTGGGTAAGGGTCTATGGTCCAGGAGACTCTGACAGCATATTCTTGTGCTCCCAGCTCTCCAAACCAGAAGTGAACAGAATAGGGAGGCAGGAGGTGAAGGATAAGCAGGGAGCCCCCTAGGAGAGAAGGGCACAATGAAGGCATAAAAGCCCCTAAACTTGTATGAAATATCTGGGTATAGCTGGAGTCTGGGTGGGGATAGTTGCCCTCAAAAGAGAACTTGTATGTCCTCCAGAGAACAGAAGTGGAGAGGAGGGGGATGCTGACCTTAGAATCCAGGACCAGGGTTGCTAATGAACTGAATGTCTGCACCCTCATCGAAGTACACATGGTGATCCCTAATACCCAACACAATGGATTAAGAGAGGAGCCCTGAATGGGAACAGAGCCTGACAGGAAAAGGAATGAGAAACTATGCTTCCTTCCACGGTGAAGGACACAGGAAAACATCTACAGAGCAGAAATGGTCCTTCGTCTTGGACATCTAGAACCAAACAAAAGTGAACATCTGTTGTTCAAGCCCCTCAGTTCATGTTATCTGTAATAGTGGTCTACATTGAACAGAGACCACATATAGAGGCTACATGAGAACAAAGTCTAAGTGGGTTTGTCAATGCAGGTCTGAGTCCACAGCTTCCCAGTTGCACTGTGTGCTCCTTTCAAAACATTTACTTTTTAATTATTTATTTTGTATGATGGGTATTTTTGTCAGCATATGTATGTGTTCCATGTGCATGCCTGGTATCTAAGGCAGCAAGCAGAGGTCACTGAGTTTTCTGAAACTAGAGTTACAGATGGCTGTGAGCTACCATATAGGAAATGGGAATCAAACCTGAGTCCTATGGAAGATCAGCTAGTGTTCTTAACCACTGAGCCAACTATCCAGCATTATCTGCTCCTTTCTAAAAAGAACAGGTTGCTTCTTTTTTTTTTTATTTTTCCTAGTGAAGAAGTAAGGGCCTTTTTTCCATATGCACTCGCATATCAGGCTTTGTTTCCCCCAACACCTAGTCAGGGACATAATAGAAGCAAAAGGAGAACCTTTTATTACTCACATCTCAAAGTCCTCACTCATCTGTCTTTCTACCTTCCAGAATCTTCTAGATTTCCTGGAGTTTTCAACTGCCCTTGTTAGAAGGGACAGAGAACACTGTATCTACTCCTTCTTGTTTGAACCAGAAATCCCTGTATTTCATACTTACGTATTTTTATACTCTTAAGAAGTACATGAACCCAATAAAGCAAAATATGCAGACTCCTTTCATCTGGATGGCAGAGATATGCTGTGTTCAGCAGACACATTTGGTGTTTTGCTATGTCCTTACAGAAGCTAAGCCCTTGGCTGCCATTGGAGGTGGCCATGTTGGGACTAAAGACAACTAGGCTGAGTCAATGGGCTGCTGGTTCCATCATGAATACCAACCTCCCAAGTGAGAGGGAGAGTGAGGCTAAACCAGAGTTGCCTCCCAAGAGCAGGATACATAGGATCCAGGAAAAGCAGGGAGTTCTGCCTGGGGACTGCAGTGGCCTTGGTCCATCTTCTCTGCTCTCTGTGGGCCAGTTAAAGAGCCATTGTGCTTCAGTTTCCCCTTCTGAAGTAAAATAACAACACCTACCTCAAAGATACCAGAGAAGTAACAGTTCATCCTGGCACACATCAAACAGTGAACAAATACTGGTTGTATCTTTGGCCTATTAGCAAAGACTTCAGTGGAGCCAGAATTCCTGTATCTACTTAGCTGAGTTGCACGGGCACAGTTGTACAGAGGCTTTGGCAGTGAAAGTGTTCCTTACCTATGGTCCTTCGGAGGTCTTCACACTGGCTGATGTGAGGAAACTTCAAGATTTCTTTCCACTTCTTGCTTTTCCCTTTGCGCTTTCCTCCACCGCCTGCAGAGATGGAAAGATGCCACTGATGTTGGTGCTGCCCAAAGCTCCAGAGCCTGTTATCCCATACCCATGAGCCTTTCCACCAGCTTCTAGGTTTTAGATCAAACCGGTGACATGCCCTGAGCCCACCACTGCCTCCGTCCCTCCTTCCCCTCCCTCCTCTTTCTTTCTTCCCTTGTTCTACATAGCAGGAACTGTTATGTTCTCCTTGAAATAGAAGAAAGAAGTCATTTAGGACCACACAGCTCACAGATGGCAGAGCTAAGACCCCAGCTTGAAGATGCCAATGCTCCTGCCCCTCACTGAAGTTTGATTCTCTTGAAGGTTCAGAAGATCAGAGGAAAACACTGGAGTCAGAGCATCCTGGAATAGGTAGGAACAGTGGAGGGCCCACATCTATGAGTTCCCAGACGTCAAAGACTAGACACTACACCCTTCAGGGTTCCTTCACACACATGTGGTTTGCTTGCCTGCTCTTTGGCAAACAGGTTGCTAATATTTAAACACAAGGACATTCTGCATACAAACCCAGATTCTGGACTTTTATCCATAGTCAGGCTTCCCACATGGCAAGAACCAGTTAGAACTAGTTAAGAGTAGCCCCATGAACAGGACCCAGATGAGCTGTCCAGTAGCACATGTTCTAATTGGTCTTAATAATAAAAACACAGAGTCAGATATCAGGGAATATGCTGAAAGACCAGAGAAACAAAGGAGCAAGCACCTCTTACCTTGCCAACATCTCAGAAGGGGCCAAGCTCCTGTCTCCCCCTTGCCTTATCACTTCCTCTCTCTGCTCAGCCATATCACTTTGTTTCCTCTTCCCCGGTGCTGGGATTAAAGGTGTGTGCCACCATTGCCTGACCTCTATGGTTAACTAGTGGCTAGTTTTGAACTCTAATCGCTAGACAAGCTTTATTTGTTACAGCACAAACAAAATATCACCACACTGCCCCTTACCAGCTAGGCACCCTCTCGGATGCCTGTCTACTCTCTATAAAGTTGTATGTACACTTGCCTGGTTGCTACAGAGGGTGGTAGGTACATGCAACCTCACAGAACGGCAATCCTCTAGGAAAATCAGCCTGCATAGCAGATGAACTAGGCTAGGTTGCTAAGGACCTGAAAGGGCCATCAGAACTCATGTGGCCCATATGACCCCCATTCTCATTCCTACACTACTGATTCCCAGAGCTTGTTGGGATGAAGAATCTCTTTCAATATGATAAAATAACATAAACTGACAGTTTTAAGTGTAAAATTCAGTAGCATAAAGTGTGTTCATATTGCTGTCTAAATGTCACCACTAGCCATCTCCAGAACATATTTGTCATCTCAAAATGTAAACATGGTTTGTTTAAAAAAATACTTCCCCATCCTCCCTCCTCTAACCCTCTTCTATTTTTTGTCTCATGTAGAATCATTTCCCCTTGGTGTCTGGCCTACTTCACATAGAACTATGCCTTTAAGGTCTAGCCATAATATAGTACATGTCAGAAATTTATTCCTTATTAGGGCTGAACATTATTTGGTTATATACATATATTTCTGTTTTGTTTTGAAACCAGGTCTCATGTAGCCTAGGCTGGCCTTGAATTCTCTGTGTACCCACACATGACCTTGAACTTTTGATCCTCCTGTTCCTACTATGTAACACTACACCCAGTTTATGTGGCATTTGGAAAAAGAACTCAGAGCTCTGAGAATTTCAGACAAACACTCTACAAACTGAACTACATCCTGACCCCTGGGCATACATTTCTCCATTCATCTGTCTTTGGATACTGGAGTGGCTCCTAATTTAAGGCTATGGAAAATATATGTTTCATGGACACTTGCATCCAAGCATCTGATTCATGCTCTGTTCTTAATCCCTTTAGGTACATTCCAGGGAGAGAAGCTGCTAGGTCACAGAGCAAGTCAATTCTTTTTGAAGAACAGATGCAATGAAGATTCCCAGATAGTGATTCCACTCTCTGATTGGAACCTAAGAATGTGACTTCTCTAAGGATCCCCAAATGTTTCTCAAGTAACTGGGCTATGGAAAGTAGGTATCTGCTTCTCACCGAAAATTAAGACAGATTCATTAATTCATTCAACCAGGATGTGTTGAGCATCTCCTAAGTAGTGATCCTTCTTCAGGTACTAGAACACAGTAGTCATGTCCACAGAAGACAGAAGCCAAACTTTAGTTCTTCTGGTGATTTTCTACACCCAAAATTATCTCCTAGGAAACATCTCAAAACATCTGGAGATACTTAATTGTCACAGCCTACTATTGGCAGTCTATGGGTACAGCACAAGGGTGTGAATAAACACCACACCATGTACTGGGCAGCATTGCAAGACATTCAATATTGGCTCTAAAATGTGGCAATGTGGGAAAACCTTGATTTATCTAATGGCACTTAGGAAGGGAGCAGGGTTTGGGGAGGTTTGCTGGTTATGGGGACAGCTGTCTAGGATATTAAAGAAGGTGGGGAAAGTGAGCCACTTGAAGGAAGAAACACTGAAGCTGGGCCCAAAGACTTCAGGAAGAGTTTAAGAGGTAAAGAAGGCACACTCAGGTAGTGATGGTTCATGCCCTTAATCCCAGCAAAGGCAGGCGAATCTCTGAGTTCCAAGGTCAGCCTGGTCTACAAAGTGAGTCCCAGGACAGCCAAGGCTATACAGAGAAACCCTGCCTTGAAAAAAAGAAAAGAAAAAGGATGAGGAGAGGACTAGGACAACACACTCTGTCCCAAGGAGGCTGCACAGGAACAGACAGACAGAGGCTCCCCAGGTGGCACCTGAGGTAGCTGGCTAGCTTTCCTCCTAATCCTTTTATCTTCAACTTCCAGAACAAGGATAACAAATTGTGGAAGACAGAATAGTGCTCCCCAAAGATGTCCTAATCCTGAGAATCTGTGAATATATTAAATAACATGGAGAGGAGGGTAAGGTTAAAGAAAGAATTACAGGCAACAATAGAGATGTTTTCTTAAATTACCCAGAAAGGGTAATCATTGTCAACTTCAATGATGGGAGATGTCCTTCTGTATATGTTTCTCTTATTGGTTGATGAATAAAACACTGTTTAGCCAATGAGACAGGAAGATAGGCAGGACTAGGAGGCGAGGAGAATTTTTGGAAAGGTAAGCAGAGGAAGACCGCAGTCGCCATGTAAGGATGGGGAAGAAAGGATGCACCAGGTGTTCTCCGGTAAGATAAGACCACGTGAAAATACATAGATTAATAGAAACGGGTTAATAATTAAGATAGATGTAGTCAATAAGAAGCCCTAGCCATCAGTCAACAGTTTAATAATTAATATAGCAACTGTGTGTTCATTTGAGGCTGAAGCAGAAGGACCAGGCTGGCAGAACAAGAAACCTTCCAGCTACACTTCAATACATTTAAAACCACCTAGAGACTGAATCCTCTGAAACCTTGAGCCACAATAAATCTTTCCTTATGTTATTTCTGGAAGGAATTTGATCTCAACAACACAAAAACAAACAATAATAGGTCCAATGAAACCAAGAAAGGTAGAAGCAACAGATCTGTGTAAGGAAACATGAGAAAAGACTAGCCTGGCCTTTGTGAGCTGCAAAGATGGAAGGAACCTTAAGCCAAAGAACGTAAGAGACCAGAACAAAATGGAAAAGACAAAGATTCTTCTCTGGAGCTCCAGAAGAAACCAGCCCTGCTCATACCTTGTTTTTAATTCAGTGAGACATGAGTCAGACACCAAGGCTACAGAACTATAAGATAATAAATATGCATGGGTTTGATCCACTTAGTTCTACAAAATGTGTGTGTGTGTGTGTGTGTGTGTGTGTGTGTTGATAATTTTCATAGCAACTATAGGCAAATGATACAGAATACTTTGGACAGAGTGCTTCTTCCCCCACAAAAATGACCTCCACACCTACATCTGGCCCCTGTAGTTCTGCTAAAAGTCCCACAATAAACTCTGCCTCCTATAACTCAGGTAGACTACAACAATGTCTAATATCTTTACAAACAAACCTGCCTCAAAGAGGTTGCCACTTCAAACGATTAGCACAAGTAGGCTGTTGTGTTTCTAAATTACATATTTAATGACTGAAAGTATTGGCACTGTTCATTACAGTAGAAATTCCTCCATCATCCAGGCCATAGCTGCCCCCAGGCCTGCTGCACTACTTTAGTGGATGTCAGGCCTACAAGGGGGCTAGGACCCTACATCCTACCTTTCTAGGGCCCAGACAGGCCTCAGCAGGAACAGTTAGTTATTTCTCAGACCTTACCACCTGGGAACTCACAGGCTCAGCTCATCTTCCTTGGCTACATTCAATCCTACATTCATCTTCTCCCTAGCCTTATTTCCTTCCGAACCACTGATCTTAGGACTTTTTCACTGTTCTAGCAGGAATACCCCTTTCCTGCTTTTTTCTTAGTATTTCTCACTCCTGCTTCCAGTCTCAACTTGCACCACCTTCTCTCACTTGGTCAGCTGAAGGACATCTGTTTTCCACCTTATCCACATGGCTTGGCAGAGTTTGAGGAGCTTTGCTTATTTGCTCAGTTTGTCATATCAGCTTACAGAACACTCATCCATTCTCTCAGCACATGTCCATTGACCCATCTGAGTACTACATATGAAGTGACCACTAGTGGTCAACGCTGTGCTCACATTACATAGGCATCATTCTATGCACTGGTATGCCTGCCCATACTGACAGCAGGCAAACAGTAGAAGAGACTCAGTCTTGCATTTTCTACCATTCTAAGCCTGTGGTAAATACACAAGTGTCCGCTTATTAGATGTGAATGTGTGTTTTGTCTTAGGCACCTGCACACATCTTGTTTCTTGCAGACTTGAGTCTCTACCAGCAATACACTTTCCTACCCCTCTATCTACCAAAGCCCCACATGGCCTCTCAGTATAGCTCCAAAACGCCCTTTTCCATGGTAGCTTTGAAAGGCAAAGTCCTGTCTGGCCCTCAGCCTCTCTAAGAGGTGAAGGGAGACAATGA